GAACGACAATCCCAGCCCTTCACACTTTGAGACCGGCCTGGTAAGCTGCCCCGGCTGGCCTCCAACTCGTCATCTGTCCACCTCCGCCTCAGGTGTAACCGAGGTCACAGGCGGGCACAACCCCAGCCTCGCGCAGCCTCTCCCCCAGCCCTGCTCTTCACGAGCCCCCCTCAGGGCGCACACGGCCTCAGTCACTCCGAGGCAGGCTGAGTCCCACTCCCTCGTCTTGAGGAAAGCCGCCGCTTTTCCTTGCCCGCACAGGCCTGCTCGGGGCACGCGGCACACGGCCTGCACGGGGGTGCCCAGTTCGCGATGGGTCCAAACAGGAAACTCTTCGTGTCTTTGAAATGCACTATTCAAAATATAATTTCTTTCCATCCCTGATTTACTTCCACATCACATTTACCTGTATCATTTGTTCATCCTTCTAGGAAAAGTATCTAATTTTATCAAGTGAAAAAAAATTTAAACATTGGGGTTTTGATCATAATCATGAAGTCTACTGTTATGGCCTGTGTCTGGATGTCCCCCCAAAGCCTCACGCGGTCATGGGGCGGGCTTCTAGAGTTTGTGATCGACTCATGGTTCAATGCTGGGATTACGGGTGTTCAGTGCTACACCTACCCTGGTGTAGGCAGCCTGCATACCATATAAGGGAGGGAAAGAGGCTTGCTTGCCGGTGCTCCTCCCTTTTGGTTCTTGCTGTTTTCTGCTACGCTGAACTGTTGTTCCTCTGACATGTGCCACTCTGCCTTGCAGCCAGCTGAAGGACTGAAACCTCCACAAACTGTGGGCTAAAGAAACCCTCCCGCCCCTAATTTTGGGCGTCACAGATGTTGTCCCAGCAACAAAAGTGACCAAGACAGCTACGTAACAACTTGGAAAAACAAAATGACATGCAGTAATAAGTTAGCCTGCCCATCCTGAAATGTAACAGCTTTTAATCTTCCATCCTCCATCACCTCACATCAACCCCAATGGAAGCTATAATCCAGGTCCATGAGGACCCTGAAAAAGACCCGGCCCACTAAGCAAGCTGTGTGAATCAAGAATGCACCGTAAATAGAAAATACTCCCTCACGGATACACAAGTGCTGACCACCTCTGATGCTGGACACCGGGCTGCGCTATCTCCACACGTCATCGCCACAACCCGCCTGGCCTACTGCTTCCAAGGGGCAGTGGCTGCTGCCGCTGCTGCCGCTGCTTCTGAAACAGGGCCTCGCTCCTTAGGCCACGCCGGCCTCCACCTCTCGGTCCGCCTGCCTCAATCTTTAGAGTGCTGGGATCACCGGAACAGCAGGCTGTGCTGACACCTTGACCCTTCTTGACCCCTCCCACAGCTCCCCTTAGGCCTCACGGAGGATTCTACAGAGAGTGAGTGAGTGAGTGTGTGCGCGTGTGTTCATTCTATATTCATTCAATAAATACGAGGCTCCTACTGAATACCACATAAAGTACTAGGAACATTAAGCAAAAGAGCAAACTCCTTGGATGAAGGCCCAGCTCAAAATTCCCAACTCCCAGGACCTGAGACAGCAGGAGGACG